CTTGGGCTCCGCCGGCATCAATACAGGATCTGCCCAGAGACAGGTATTGCTATTTAGGGCTTTAGTAGGCTGAAAGGTACCAGGCTTCGGATTGCAGGATTTCGAGTTTGGAGTCTAGGGCTCAGCTGCAGAGATCTGTTTGTGAGGAGCTTGGGTCAGGCTGAACTTCCCTTTAAGTCGGACACATCGTGGTTCAGACCGGGACCCCAAGACTCCCAAAGCCCCAGGATCAAAATCCTGGCTATTCTGAAGCACTCTGAAGCTCCCGTGTGTGCGTACGTGCACATGCATAAGTATGCGCGTATCTACATATGTGCATCTGCAGCTACACATGTATGTATACCTAGTAAAAGATGGAGCAAAAAGAGACAGAGAAAAAAAAGAGAGAGAGTGAGCTTTTGTGCCTTCGGCCGGGGGGTCGGCTGCTGCCCGCAGCTCCTCTGCCCTGGCTTTCTCTTGCTCTGCCTCCGCGAAAGGTGGTCACCCCTGGCGTCTTAGCATTAGCTGGTAAATTGCAGGATTGTGAAGAAATGATATTGTAGGTTACCAATACCAACAGACATGTGTGTCTGCTTGGTCGTATCTGCATCTGCATGACATAACCGACCATGCACAGTGACGGCCAGAAGGAAGAGTACTTGCTTCTGTGTAGCAGTGTAACAAAACTTCGTGCTTGCGCGAGGCCTCTGCGCACCACATTTACTTACATCCATGCAGACATACAGATGCATGTGCGCGCCGTACTGCTTCTGCTGCTGCTGCTGGTGCTGGTGCTGGTGCTGCTGTCATAAGCGAACACATACGAGTATGTAACAAATCTATGCGAAAACACATGGCCTATGGGCATACATATAATTTACTTGTACGTAGACATTGACACGTGACTGGATAGATTACCTCAACCGGCCTTCATGAACAGTCTCCGCTCCCTGGCGGTTACCTGCAAGACAGACCACTTGCGGATTGGAGGCCTTTTGAGTCTTTGGCTTCGAGCCTGAGACCTTGCCTCTTCTCCGGTTTTTTGGGATAGGGGCTACGGCTACGGTTTGGCGCCGAGACTGCTTCAGGGCTTGGGGCTTCAAGTTTGTAGCCACATAGCCAACTGTTGAAAACTGTGGGCACGCTCACACCACTCTAAGAGATGGGCTGAGTCCTGGAACACCGGACACACACTCACACACAGACGCACTTCAGCCAAGATCTCTTGTTCAAAAGCCTTTGCTAATCATCAAAAGCCATCCTCGCCATACACATCTCCAACATCCTCACCATCCACTTTGATGTTTCTTGACGTTGTCAGGAGCTGCAGAACTGTCTTCTTCTTGTGTTGCAAGAAGCAAGAGCAGGTACGTCTGAAGAGCCCAAGACCCGGAGACTCGGCCTTTCGAAGCTGGATTTCCTCAGGACGGTGGGAGGGGCGTCACTCCGGGTTTAAGGATGTTCGTGGCAGCTAGAGTCTCGAGGCTTGACAGGTGCGAGTTACGGTTTGGAGTTCGCAAGGTCGGCACTTCGTGATGCTTTCACTGCAGCTTCTCAGCAGGGTGTACGGCGGGGCCTCCGTGTATGGATGAAGGATTTCTTCGGGGCTTTCAAAGCCCTGGTGGGTCCGGTTGCTGGAACGAGAAGAGGAGTTTCACGCAAACTCAAATGTTCCCTGGAAACCCAGCAACCAGTCTCGACCGTTTCAACCTCCGAAGCTGAACACTGTGTTCTGTGGGAAGACGGTGAAAGATGAGACACAGGTCCCATCTTGACTAGCTGGACGATCAGTCCTAGTCGAAGACAACACTCACAAGACTCATCGAGTGCACGGCCGGCAAGATTTTGTAGAGGCTGCGTCGATACCTCGGACATCACTTCGCACAACTCAACCGCAAAACCGACGTTCAAAGTCTTGAACCCTGACCTGGTCAACGAAACCCTTCGCCTTTCGCACGGCTCAGGGTTAAGACAGTTAAGGCATGAGCAAACAAAGCATGACGTTTTCAACAACAAAAACAGCCAAACCACTGCACTTGTTCACCAGCGTTGGTGATGGTGGTAGTGGTTATGGTAGGGGCGGGTGGTAGGTGGTAGGTGGCAGTGGCATAGTGGCATAGTGCAAAGTGGCATACCGGTATGGTGGTATGGCACAGCGGTATAGCAGTATTTCGGTGTAGTGGTATGGTGATATAGTGGTATTATATGTATAGTGGTATAGTGGCATAGTGCGAGAGTGGAAGAGTATGGTGGCATCGCAGTATAGTGGTATAGTGGTACAGTGGCAGGTGGTGGTGGTGGTGGTGGTGGTGGTGGTGGTGGTGGTGGTGGTGGTGGTGGTGGTGGTGGTGGTGGTGGTGGTGGTGGTGGTGGTGGTGGTGGTGGTGGTGGTGGTGGTGGTGGTGGTGGTGGTGGTAGTAGTAGCAGCAGCAGCAGTAGTAGTAGTAGTAGTAGTGGTAGTAGTGGTAGTAGTAGTAGTAGCAGTAGTAGTAGCAGTAGTACTAGTAGCAGCAGAAGAAGTGGTAGGGAGCAGTAATAGTAGTAGCGGTAGTCCTTGTTGCAATTATCACGCTGGTTGGCTCAACGATCTTCTGACAATAGCAAAGCACTGCTCGGGAAGACTTCGAGCCCCGGGCCTCCAGGCACCCAGGAGAAGGCCGACGAAGATTGGAATGGTCATGAGCCCTGGAGTCTCTGCCCGTCCCCACTGCTTTCTTTCAACTTAGTGGGACAATGAGCGCTCATGGCTTTCTAGGCAGGTTGAGCTGTCATTCTTTGCGACCATAATCATAGTGACGATAGTCACCCGGAAAATCTCCCCACGGGGTGCTGGGGGGGGATGCTGCAAGTTGGGCTTCATGCGCATTTTCTACCGAGAGCGAGGAGGGGCTCGACGGTTAGGGCGCGCAAACCCCTGGCTTCAGTGCTAGGTTCTCAGGCTAGACCTGTAACGATCTCAACGAATCTTCCACACACGGGCTTCGGAATTCGGTTGGACTTCGTGGAACCGGGTTGGGGTTTTGAGTTTAGGCATCACACGGGAACCTGAAAGCCCTAAAAACCCGACAACGCTGCAGCAAGCTTCGCCTAGGACGGTCAACAGCTCGTTGATTGCTCGTTGCTCTTCCTTGCCTGACAGGATCAAAGGGGCTCTAAGTGGCCTTGATTGAAGAATCTTCCCGGGCTTCTTCATATGAGTCAGGGAAGGTTCCTTAAACTAGTCATGATTTAAAGCAGCTTCCTTGGAAAAAGGATCACGGGATCCCGGAGACAGGTTGAAAGCCCGGCTTGGGGTTTGTCGAGATTAGGGCTCGATTTACGGCCTAGGGTGTAGAGCTTTGGGCTTTTTGAGCTTAGATAGGTTCAGGAGTTTTAGTGCTTGGGGTCTACAGGAACTGGTCATACCCGTTTATTGAACTCGAGATCCACCCATCAAGAATTTTAGGCCGTGCAGGATCCTTAGGTACCTCGGTGGCGAATGAAGCGTCCTGCGGCGGGTCTTGGAAACAGACTGCTTCACTTCGGTTCACAAATATGCCGAGCCAACGGCGGGATGGCTCTTCACAAAGAAGACCCCAAACCCCCAAAACAGAAAACCTCATTCCAGGCAGGCTCCGGGCGCGCCTAAGCCCGGGGGCGCAGGCGCTGGCGCCGGTGTTGTGCGAAAGTTTTGCGCCTGGCATCCGCCACATGCATGGGTAGTAGTTGGGGCCCCAACCCAAAACCCTCCGGGCCCGCAAAGCTGACAGAAAGTGGCGCAGAGGATGCCGAACTCCGGAGGCCAAGCATGCGAACACCAATAGAGGATCTAGACTCCACACCCTACGCCCTTAACGTGAGCTCGGACAGACGGTAATGGTCCTGATGAGATCTCATAAGATGGCGTGGCTGTCGAAGCATCATCATGCTGATGGCAAGAGCGGTAAGAGCGTTTCTGTGTTGGAGGAGCCCGGATGCGAACTGTTTATCATCATCAGAGGCGCCGGACTGCGGTCGACTGCTTGGGGAACTCCTATCAGCATGCCTAGAGCCCAGACCTAGCGTTTCTTTTCAACAAAGAACACGCCAAAGAACGCCACTGACGATGACAGCATGCTCGGGGCCTTTTGCAAGCATCTTTTCCGAGGTGCAACTTTCAGACTTCGAAGTTTTCGCGGACTTGGAGATGAGGACGGATTTGAGTCTTGAAGTCTAGTACAGACATCATGAATGTGGAGGCCTTGCCAGACGCAGCTTCCGACGCGAAGCACAGCAGGAACAGGTAAAGTGCCGCGGATGCCTCGGATCTCGCGACAGTAGCCTGCTCGAAGTTATAGTTTTGATGCCTCTGGCCGTGAAGCCGCACACGGACACTGTTGATGTAGGGATTGTTGTGAGATGGAACTGACACAAACTAGAAGCGTTGAACGCTCTGCCGGAACTATTCGCCCCAACACCCAAATCATCTTCCAATTGAAAGGTGCACATCAACATTGAAGAACAAACCCCCAACACAGATCCAAGAATGTTCGAACACGCAGCCTGTGCCGGCACAGTCTTGGCCAAGTTGGCGTCCATGTCGCAGCAACTACGAAACAACACTTATGCGGGCCTCGTCTCAACTGCAGAACAACACCCAAGCGGGCATATGTCACGGCAAAATGCTCAATGTCAAACTATGCAATAAAGAACGAACACAATGCAATATGCACATGTGAGTGTCGATCACGTTTGATTAGTTTTGGAATCCACGGCATCATGGACTCTTGCATGCTGCAGAATGAAAGCAGTTGTTGCCACGGGCCAGCCGGCTGCCCTCTACGAGCCTAAAGTGCTGTCAGATGACAAAAAGGTGAAGCAAACGGCTCGGGAAGGTCTTGATTCAGGCAAGCTCTCAAAAGAGCCCAGGCTCACAGCGAGCAGTTTCGCAAATTTTGCTGCCACCGCACTGAGAAGTGGACTACATGTCCACGATTGCAGCTTGCGGGAAGTTGCATGCTACGGCATAGCTTCAACCGAGACTAGCACGCGCTTCAGAACGCTTAGCGCGCTCCTTCCTTCAGCTCGAACTCCACATAATTGCCGTTGCTGCTGTTGTAATGGAAGGCCCTGACGTTCACGTTGTGCTCTTGCACTTCCTGGTGGATCAAACCGTAGCTTAGGACTCCGACCATCGCAGGACAGAACCCTGCACACCCACGCCGGAATCAAAAGCTGACGCCCTCTCAGTGACTGCTAGAACTGCAATGGCCACTCAACCACATTCCCAAATTTTGCAAGAACTGTCCTTCCGCAGCTGGAGTGCAGATTCACGACTTCTCTGAATCTGCTCAGGGTAAGTGTTCGCAAAGTGTCCACCTGGTCACACAGAACTGGTAGGCCCAGTAACCTTTTAAATCCGATCCCAACCGACCAGATGGACGCGCCCCGCCTCTTTGAACCCGAGTGGCAACCAACTGCGCAGCCGCCTCGGCCCTCTCCTGGTCCGTATTTCCTGGCAGGGAAAACGCCGTAGAGAATGCAGGCACCAAATCCTATCGGATCCAACATATGTCAACGATGCACTACAAACTTGCCAAAGACCTCCCGAAGCAGATACGAGAGGCCGGTCTTGTCAAATTCATTCAAAGCCAAGAGAAGAACCATTCTAAAATGGTAATCGCAGCACATACTTACCTGGCTCACTGTGCTGGTGCAGCGTAGCCCCGAACAATCCCAAACATATGTTGTCTGCAATCTCTGCTTTCTGGCAGCATCCAAGGTTCCAGGAGGCTCCAGGTAAGAAGATCTGACCTCGGCTACTTCTGAGTGTCCCAACCCAACACGCACTGGCTCATGTCTGATTCAGTGTCTGATTCCATAGGCAGGTAGCAGTTGTGGCCGGCTTTTAAGAAATGCTGCGGCACGTTCACGGGCAGTGTGATGGAGTCGGTGATGTAGTTCACTGAGACGTTCATCACCACATCCTGGATCTTCAAACGGAGCTGATTTGCCAAGTCCACCAGCTGCTGGTCTTGGTGGTTGTTGTTCGAGACGGCCGCGTAGATGTCGTATCCACCAATCATGTCAGATCAGCTCGTCTGCATCGAACCGGAAAGCAGATTTCACAAAACCTGGACGCCCCAACTTCAAATCCAGGCCACGATTGATGAAGTCTGTCTTCCTGCTTCCGACAGCCCCCAGCACGAATACGGCAATGGGTTTCACTTGTGGCTCGATTTTGGTCAACGCAGCGATCGACTCGGACTCTCTCTGGAAAACCTCCGTGGGGCAGTCATGACAACTTGCTGCCCTGGCACCACGCATCACCAACTTGCAGGATGGGATTCCACACAATGATACATGAAGAGAGCTGGAAAGCAAACCGAAATTGCAGACTGCGCAGAGCAAACTCATGTGGGAGCCTCCCGAATGTCTTGGACCTTGTCTTGACCTTGTTTTGACAGATTTGACGGGCTCATGTTCGAAGAACCCTTGATCATCTTTTGGGAGTTGAGAATTCAAAAAAGGAGAAAGCAGGCTCAAAAATGGGCCCGGAATTCGAACCTGTTTTTAGTGTGAGTATAGGCATATTTCCCGAGGGCTCAGAAAACGGTCGCACTTGGGGGCCTGCATTTTGGTGCTGGCGAGCCACTTTCGAGCTCAGTTTGGAATCGCACAATCTGGATGCGGAGCGACCATTCAAATGATTTCAGTTAATGCTTGTCTTGAACATTTTTTCGTTTCGAACAATCAAAATGGACGCCTCCCAAGAAAACATACAACAGAAATCCTCAATACCCCAACTCATCGTGACTCGCCGCAAGGTTTGACCCTTTGCTTCTGGGGCTATCCACGACTTCAACATGAGCAGTTACGGCTCAAACTCAAAACCCAAACCTTTGATGTCAGTATGGGTGTACAGCACCGCAGCATGAGTGCCCGGTCAGAAAATCCTCCCGGCCCAGAAGGAACGGACATCCCACCAGTGGGTGAATGGCACAAAGCTTCGTTGGTCCGAAAGCTCAGGCACCAGTCTAGCTACAAGCCATGGCTGTCGCCACCGAAGTCGGAACTCTGCCCAGGTTAACACACTACTGCACACAGCACGTCAGCAAATACCCCACGATTGCTGCACAGGATCCGCTGCGAAAGAGTCGCAGCTGCAAGCTTCGTCCAGAGCACTTTTGCTGCAGTCCTAGGTGATGTCCACGTAGCCATAAATCCACACAAGCCATGACTTGGCAATGAGCAACTCTTTCTCGTTAGGGTATGCAGGGTCTTTGCTCGCGAGCGCCCAATGTCAGGGTCAAGTGCCCCCCCGAGCTGCTCCAGACACAGTCGTTCTGCAGTTCATCAAACAGTCAAGACTTTGCAGTTGCTGCAGTTCAGTCATGGCATCATACACTGGCCCTGCAGTTACAAAGAAAATTTTCCTGTAGATTCAGATCTCCGTGTTGGTGCCATGCGGCTCTTGCTGGTGCTTTGGTTGGTGATGCAATTTTCCGCTGCTGTGCGAGCAGCCCTGAAGCAGAAGAAACCCCAAGAGTTACAAGTTACAGCCATGTGCAATGACCCTGTGAGAAATGATTTCCTGAAAAGCTTGAAGCGACCACCTGCTGCAGCTGATCCTGCTCGGAACAGCATAGTTAGTTTTGGCTTTGCTTGCCCTTCGCAATGCAGTCGGCGGAGCGTGTCTTGGATGGGCATTAAATCTGTGGCCGCAGCAGTGAGTCAGTTTATGAGGAGCCATTCTGCCCGGCCAGAAACTTCCGTGGGCATGGAGTTCAACGTGAAACCACAAGCAGGAAGCCGAGGCCAAACTACAATAACGCCCGTCGGCGGGCATTGGTTCTGAAAAAGCCGAAGACCACAGCAAATCGTGCTGCTGGATCTTGGAGCTGGACTTATCAGCACTGTTTGCAAAAAACAAAAGCACGTGGGTTGCTATTATTTTGAACCTCTTGCAGAGCCGCCGAGACGTTTTGATTTGCGTCAAACGACAGGGGAGGCCCGCTCAAGCGAAGCCAGAGCTGGACTTTTCCAGCCCCACATTTGGAGTCGCGAAGCTTGCGATTTCACCAACAGTGCAAAGCCTCTCGTCATTTGTGGGGTTTCGAGACAGAAACTGAAGCCTTCCAAAGCCTTCCTTGTGGGTTCGGAGCTTACAATCTTACCGTAGTCTCTGCACTCTTCTGGTCTGTAGTTCCTGCAGCTTGCAGCTGTCCCTGTTATCTTGTGCTTCACGTTGGTAGATTTCTCGGCTTGCGCGTGTCATCCTTGTGCAGGGGCCATGCTAATCTTCTCTATCTCGTTTCTCCACCTTCGGAAAGCACACGGCAAACGAGAGTGCCTCAACTGCTGAAGCAGTGCGAGCTTCCATGCACAAAAACCGTGCATGGGTCCCGCCTCGCCGTTCATTTAAACTTTTAAAACCTAAACGGGGTGTGGGACCCGGCCCTAGAAAAATGGGACCCGGGTGGACCCAGGTGGGACCCGGATGGGACCCGGTGGGACCCGGACCCGGATTCGATCTGGCTAGCAAAGTATGGGACATGTGACAACCAGATGAAACTTCTTGTGTGGGAAACATGGGACCCGGTGACACCCGGATAAGACCCGGCGAGCAAAAAAACGGGATTCGGTGACGCAGAAGGTGGGACTTGGATGGGCCCGGTGGGACCCGGTTGGGACTCCTCGCAAAAAGCGGGACCTTGTGACCGCTCAGATGATGTGGCCTCAAAACCACACGTTGATGTGGCTTGAGAACCACACGTTAAGTGGCCTTGATGTGGCTTCAAAACCACACGTTTGTGGCTTATGTGGCTTCAAAGCCACACGTTTGTGGCCCGGATGTATTAAAGGGGTCACCAGAAGCCTCGGACCTGAACGAACACGTGGGCTGCCTTTCTTCTTTCTTTACTACAGAGAATTCTAAGCCGGAGCTGGCTCCAAGTCCACTTGCTGGAGCTAGAAAAAGGCTTCAACAAGCTTCGATGATCTTGCAAGCTATTGGCTATTGCTGACTCCATAGAGCCATAGATCTTGGCAATCCTAGACAGGAGCTTCGATGATCGTGTCGCAGCGATGCATCCTAATAAACGTCAAAGATCTCGATTGGCTTAAAAAGATCCTCGAGATACCTCGATGACATTGCAAACTGACACTGATCTCCAGTGGATATAGAAGCAGGATGAGCCCAAGAAATGATGCTGCGGACGACCCCGTTTCTGGGCCCACGAAACGAAAGCAATTCTGGCTTCGCCACAATGGGCCTCCCCAGTTGCAAATCCGCTGGTTGTGGCATTTAAGGTGAGCGTGCAGCTGCTTTGGACAAGACTTCTGGCTTTTCAATCTTGCGTCTGCATGATGCCCAAAACTGCGGGAACAAAGGCAGGCAGGCGCACGCCCGAGATCCAGCTGGTTGGCCCCGAACATTTGCGATTTGCGACCCCAAAAATGGGGCCGTTTCGCGGCCCCGAAAACAGGGCTGCGACATGCGCCCGGCCTCATTAAATATATAGTTTGAGCATGAGTTGGAGGCTTGGAACCCCGACCCCAAAAATGGGGCCGCCAAACGGCCCCATTTTGGGGGGTCGCGAATTCTTCTACTTTGAGGCACGTCCGCCTGACTGCTACACAACAAGGCGACTGTGGCACACAGGCGCGCGTCCAGCTTGGAAAAAAACAAGCTTTCAGGATTAAGGCTTCCAAGCCGAGCCTTGCTTTCTTATAGAAGTACATTAAATCAACATGAAAGAAACGGGCACAGGGGAGGCCCGCTCAAGCGAAGCCAGAATTGCTGGACTTTTCCAGCCCTACATTTGGAGTCGCGAAGCTTGCGATTTCACCAACAGTGCAAAGCCTCTTGAACCGTCATTTGTGGGGTTTCGAGACAGAAACTGAAGCCTTCCAAAGCCTCCCTCGTGGGTTCGGAGCTTACAATCTTACCGTAGTCTCTGCACTCTTCTGGTCTGTAGTTCCTGCAGCTTGCAGCTGTCCCTGTTATCTTGTGCTTCACGTTGGTAGATTTCTCGGCTTGCGCGTGTCATCCTTGCGCAGGGGCCATGCTAATCTTCTCTATCTCGTTTCTCCACCTTCGGAAAGCACACGGCAAACGAGAGTGCCTCAACTGCTGAAGCAGTGCGAGCTTCGCGAGAGCATGCTTTGATTCATGCATGCTTTCACTGAAGAAGTGTTGACACCGTTTGGGACATGACCTGGACTACAATGCTAAAGGCAGCTCCATGCACAAAAACCGTGCATGGGTCCCGCCTCGCCGTTCATTTAAACTTTTAAAACCTAAACGGGGTGTGGGACCCGGCCCTAGAAAAATGGGACCCGGGTGGACCCAGGTGGGACCCGGATGGGACCCGGTGGGACCCGGTGGGACCCGGATTCGATCTGGCTAGCAAAGTATGGGACACGTGACAACCAGATGAAACTTCTTGTGTGGGAAACATGGGACCCGGTGACACCCGGATAAGACCCGGCGAGCAAAAAAACGGGATTCGGTGACGCAGAAGGTGGGACTTGGATGGGCCCGGTGGGACCCGGTTGGGACTCCTCGCAAAAAGCGGGACCTTGTGACCGCTCAGATGATGTGGCCTCAAAACCACACGTTGATGTGGCTTGAGAACCACACGTTAAGTGGCCTTGATGTGGCTTCAAAACCACACGTTTGTGGCTTATGTGGCTTCAAAGCCACACGTTTGTGGCCCGGATGTATTAAAGGGGTCACCAGAAGCCTCGGACCTGAACGAACACGTGGGCTGCCTTTCTTCTTTCTTTACTACAGAGAATTCTAAGCCGGAGCTGGCTCCAAGTCCACTTGCTGGAGCTAGAAAAAGGCTTCAACAAGCTTCGATGATCTTGCAAGCTATTGGCTATTGCTGACTCCATAGAGCCATAGATCTTGGCAATCCTAGACAGGAGCTTCGATGATCGTGTCGCAGCGATGCATCCTAATAAACGTCAAAGATCTCGATTGGCTTAAAAAGATCCTCGAGATACCTCGATGACATTGCAAACTGACACTGATCTCCAGTGGATATAGAAGCAGGATGAGCCCAAGAAATGATGCTGC